CCACCCACCTCGCACTTCGAGTAAGGCAAATGAACCCCGAAGCCCTAGCATTCCGGGCTCTACCTTCCCTGACACTCCCTTGGATAAGCCCTGATGGATGATGATGAGGGGGAGAGGAGATGAGGGGAAGGGAGGGGAGAGGGAGGGGAGGGGAAGGGGGGGAAGGGATGAGGGGAAGGGTTGGATAATGGGAAGGAAGGGAGGGGGGAGGGTTGGATAAGGGAAGGGAGGGGATGAGGGGAGGGAGGGAGGGGATGAGGGAGGGTTGGATGAGGGTAAGGAGGGGGAGAGAGGTAGGAGGGAAGGGGAGGGGAGGGTGGAGGGAGAGGTAGGGAGGATGAGGGGAGGGAGGATGAGAGGTAGGGAGGGGAAGAGGGGAAGGGAGGAAGGGAGGGTTGGATGAGAGGGAGGGTTAGGAGAGATGGGGGGATGGATGAGGAGGGGTTAGACATGGGGGTGGAGGTGGTTGGAGATGGATAAAGGAAAAAGGGTGAAGGAGAAGAGGGGGTTGGGGTGGATGAGGGGCTTCTGGTGTATATTTTTTTATAATTCTTTTAATTTGTCGGGTTTTTTTTTTTTTCTTTCTCTCTCTATATATATATTATTTGTCTGTCTGTCTATCTCTTCGCTCCCCCCCCCCTCTCTCTCTCTCTCTCTCTCTCTCTCTCTCTCTCTCTCTCTCTCTCTCTCTCTCTCTCTCTCTCTCTCTCTCTCTCTCTCTCTCTCTCTCTCTCTCTTTCTATCATTATATTTCAATTCCTCTCTCCCTCTAATTTGGCCCTTTAAAAAGAAAAAAACTGAAGCGCCCATTTAACCTCGTTCATCATACGGGAACCTCTTCTTGACGCCATTTTTTTTCTTTTTTCTTTTTTTATCGGCGGAAGAAGAAAAGGGGGCGGGAGGCAAGAAAATAAGGGATAAAGCTCAGGCGTAAGGATGAGAAAGGAAGACAAGAAGCTGGGAGATGTGTAGGTGGGCACATGTCACGTAGGGAAATATTTATCATCTTTGACATCGCCGCTTGCCGCCTTGGGGTATCAGGGCTGCCAACATCACACATTCCTGCCTATGATCACGCCAGGGCTGCCAACCGAACGCATTCCCGGCCTTTGACTTCAGAATTGCCAATCACAAGTATACCTTTTTCGGGTCATCTGTGGGTACGAGCTTAACCACTCTGAAGCGAATTTATTCCAAATATAGAGATATTTTTGGATTAAAAGGATTCTTTAGGTCTGTATCCGTGGTTCTCAGAACTGCCAATCGCAAGTATACCTTTTTCGGGACATCAAGGGCTATGAGCTTAATAATTTTTAAGAGAACTTCTTCCAAATATGGATATATTTTTTCATTAAAAAGAGTTTTAGGTTTGTAGCCGTGGTTATTAGGGAAATATGTGATTGGGATTGAGAAATGTATAATTTCTCTCGTATTTTTATGTTTATGTTTGAATGTGATGTTTGGATTTTTGAAGGAGCAAAGGGGGGGGGGGTTAAGTGATATTATGATGTGAAATATATTACGAATATTACATAATAACGACTGTAACGGCGAAGCTGATAAAATGTTTACTGATAACAGATTAAATCCAGTGAGAATGCTGAAAATTAGCAACAGTAATATTGATGAAATACAAAAGACATTGCTACGGATAATATTACCTGGGTCTAGAATAATTACTTTTTCCAGGTATTAGTACTTGTAATAAGCTAATTTTGATTATGGTGATTATGAATGCTTGTAATTCTAAAACTATTGATAGTAAATCATATTGGTTCTTAATAATGCATAATACCATATGTCGGTATTATATTTATCTTTGCTCCTCACCCTTCAAATGTATTTAATTCTCCTCATTTCATCCATTATTCCCATTTATCTTATTCTCTTCATTTCACTCGTTCTCATGTTTACCACTCATTTCATTCTCCTCATTTTACTCATTCTTCCCACGGGCCTCCGTCTCCTTATTTCATTAATTCATCTTATTTTCCTCGTTTCACTTACTCTTACTCTCGCCGCTCATCTCACTCTGCTCATTTCACTCATTCTACACACTCATCTCACTCTCTTCATTCCACTCATTGTTCCTAATCACTTCAGTCACCTCATTTCACTTAGTATCTTGACTTACCTCATTTCACTCATTATCCTCACTTACCTCATTTCACTCATTATCCTCACTCACCTCATTTTACCTCATCTCACCCAGTATCCTCACTCACCATCCACTCCACGTATCACCATCTCTCTCTCTCTCTCTCTCTCTCTCTCTCTCTCTCTCTCTCTCTCTCTCTCTCTCTCTCTCTCTCTCTCTCTCTCTCTCTCTCTCTCTCTCTCTCTCTCTCTCTCTCATCCCCTTCCTTATCTCTCTCTCTCTCAACCCCCATCCTTCTCTCTCTCTCTCTCTCTCCATTCCTTCACCTCTTTCTCTCTCTCACCCCCATTCCTTCACCTCTCTCTCACTCATTCCTTATCTCTCTCTCACCCAATTCCTTCATTCCTTCACCTCTTTCTCTCTCTCACCCCATCCTTCACCTCATTCCTTATCTCTCTCTCACCCAATTCCTTCATTCCTTCACCTCTTTCACCCCCATTCCTTCACCTCTCCCCCCCCCTATTCCTTCTCTTCTCTCTCTCACTCCCATTCCTTATCTCTCTCTCTCTCCCCCCTATTCCTTCACCTCTCACCCCCCCCCCATTCCTTCTCTCGCTCTTTCACCCCCCCCCATTTCTTCACCTCTCTCTCTCACCCCATTCCTTATCTCTCTCTCTCTCTCTCTCCCTCCAGATAACGCAGCTGAAGATCGCCAGCAACCCGTTCGCAAAGGGCTTCCGAGACTGCGATCCGGACGAGTGGTGAGTCAACGGATGCGTTCGTGTAACTGCTGTCTGTGTATACATGCGGCTTTCATCGAGCCCGCTTGTCTCTGGCCAATGCATGTGTCTCCTTTTGTGTGTTGGATTCTTTTTGGATTCGTCTCTCTGTGTCTCTGTCTCTTTCTTTTTCTCTGTCTTTGTCTCTTTCTCTGTCTCTTTTTCTTCCTGTCTTTTCTCTTTCTTCCTGTCTTTTTCTGTTTCTTTCTCTTTCTCTTTCTTTCTCTCTATCCATTTCTTTTGTTTTTAGCCTCTTTGTGTGTGTGTTTTTTTTCGTTTTAGGTCTTTTTCTGGTTGTTGATTTTTTGTCTTCAGCTTTTTTCCTCTTTTTTTCGTTTTTTCCCTTATTTTATGATATGATTATCTGTTTGTGCATTTATTTCATTGTATGATTATCTCGAATCTCTCTTATTGCGTTTAATGGATTGAGTCGTATTCGTGTTAACAAATGTAGAAGAGGTATGGATGAGAATGAAGATTTTCTCAATACATCTCTTGTATTGTGAAGATATTCATTCTCATTCATATGATAGATTTTTTTGTTTTTTGTTTCCATGCGAAGGTGTTCTTTGTAAAGTAAGGTGTTTTTTTTTTCTTCTTCTTCTTTTTTTTTTTTAAATTATACTGTTTACTTTCACTTTTTTTCTTCCTTTCCTTCTTCTTCTGCGTTTTCTGCTTCCTCTTCTTCTTCAGCTTCTTCTTCTTCTTCTTCTTCTTCTTCTTCTTCTTCTTCTTCGTCTTCTTATTATTATTATTCACGTTCTTTTTCTTCTCTTTCTTCCCCTACGTCTTCCTCCTTTTCTTCTTCTTCTTCTACGTCTTCTTCTTCTTGATGATGATCATTTCTTCTATACCAACGTCAGTTACTAGTAAAGCCATTATCGTTTTTTTCTCTCTCTTAATCTGTCTTTATGTCTCTCTCTCTCCCCTTCCCTTATCTCTCTCTCTCTCTCTCTTCCCTATCTCTCTTCTCTCTCTTCTCTCTCTCTCTCTCTCTCTCTCTCTCTCTCTCTCTCTCTCTCTCTCTCTCTCTCTCTTCTCTCTCTCTCTCTCTCTCTCTCTCTCCTTCCCTTATCTCTCTCTCTCTCTCCCCCTTCTCATCTCTTCTCTCTCTTTCCCTCTCTCTCTCTCTCTCTCCCTTCCCTTCTCTCTCTCCCCCCTTCCCTTATCTCTCTCTCTCTCTCTCTCTCTCTCTTCTCTCTCTCTTCTCTCTCTCTCTCTCTCTCTCTCTCTCTCTCTCTCTCTCTTCTCTCTCTCTCTCTCTCTCTGCTTTTAAATACCCACGAACCAAAAACTCGAGAACTAATTCATTCCTGCCGCCGACCCAGCGTGGTGGAGGTCCTGAACCAGCTGCAACAACCAGGTGGTGGAGGCGGGGGAGGTGGAGGCGGCGGAGGAGGCGGAAGCGGAGCTGGATCAGCAGCTGTGGCGGCGCAGCAGAGAGGGATGCAGCAGAGACAGCAGCAGAGGCATCCGGGCGTGACTTACCTCTCGTATCAGAATTCCGGCGTGAAAGAAGGTAGAGTCCTCGATGACTTTGTAGTGATATTAACAAGGGTAATAATGTTATAATAATTAACAAGGGTAATGGTAATGATATTGATAGTAATAATAATGGATGAGTAATAATGATAATGATAGTAATAATGATAATAATGATAATAATAATAATGATAATGATAGTAAAAATAATGGTAGTAATAATAATAATAGTAATAATGATAGGGATAATGACAATGATAATGATAGTAATAGTAAGGATAATAATCATAATAGTAACAATGCTAATAATTATAATAATAATGTTAATGATGATTATAATAATAATGTTAATAACAATATTAATCATGATGATGATAATAATAATAATAATGATAATAATAATAATAATAATAATATTATTATTATTATTATTATTATTATTATTATTATTATTATCATTATTATTATTATTATTATTATTATTATTATTATTAAAATGGTAATGGTGGTGCATGTGCATGTCAGATATATAGACATTCCTGGCTATTAAAAGGATTTTAGATCTAAAACCAGACCTGCCAGGGAAATAATTGAGAAATGTAATTGTTTTGCTCTCGGGTGGCACAAGAAGCGGAGACTTG